TGTGCGATATACATTTCTAGGGACGGTTAATTGAGAGAACAAAAATAACCGTGTTGTTTACCATAGATGTTTTAGAGTTTGAAGATGCATGTAAAGTGTGTTTATCAACTTAAGAAAATGGAGAAAAAAACTGAAAAGAAAATCCAGGCATATTTTCTGAACTTTATAAATACAATTTAAGAATAATTATTCAATCACAATTTACTTGCAACAAAAACAGAAAAATAAAAATTCATTTTATCCTGTATCTAACACTATCTATATTCACTTTACTTGGATCAATGTTACTTGGGGGGGGGGGGAGACGAACGACAACTCGGATGGTGGTGACCTACTTCATATGATCTTAATCCAGGCTCGTAGAATGGGAGGGGCATCCCCCCCCCCACATTTTTCTGAGTATAGTATTTTGCTATAGTAAATTTTCCTTTAGATACTGGTTGCCCCCCCCTCCCCATTTTTTGATGTTTTAAGGTCAAGCATTCTTCTGGCAAATTCCAGGATTTGGAGAGTAAATTAGCTTTCCTTAGATATAATGTTTTTAAGTGACAAAATTAACAAGATGCAGTAACTATATATTTTGATATGAAAGCTCTAGATATTCACCACACCTCTCTCGTTTAGTAGGGAACTCATTTGTTAAGTATTGAAACTGGAAATCCGAAACAGCGGTATATATGGCTTGTACAGGTGTCAATGAACATTTAAAAATGAAATTGCCGATCACTAATTACTCAAGTCTTACTAGATTTATATATATATATATATATATATATATATATATATATATATATATATATATATATATATATATATATATATATATATATATATATATATATATATATATATATATATATATTAAACAAGAGGTGCCTGTCCTGTTGATAAAAACTGTATTTCCGAGCGGTGTAAAAAGGTAATGCAAGCTATATATTTAAAGACAGGTATATTTAGCAACTGTCTGCGAAGTAATAAATTGATGAAAATAAATTTTCTGATTTATTTCTCTAGATTGAACAGGGAAAGGGATAAAGAGTTATTATTCGCCACTTTTCTTTAAACTTAATTCACGCATAATTAATCGTATAATATCGAATGAGTTTTGAATACTTTTACAGTTATCAATAATTTAATTGCTAGTTTAAACATTTTAACAAAACATTTTTATTTCAAAAATTAAAATAATGTAATAGTCATGATTTTATATTGATTTTAATTAACAGCAATTTTCTTTCAGATGCCATGGAAAGTTATGAAATAACTTTCAATAATAAACTTGATTTAAAATAAAAATGTTTTATTTAAATATTAAACAGTTAAATAAATTTATAGCAACTACCTCTAATTAAAGTCTAGAAATCTTTAGAGTTCTAAAATTACAGTTTAACTCTTAACCTTGAATAAATAAATAAGTAAGAATAGCATTGGTTAATATTTTACCACCAAAACATTTAACCCCCTTTGTCCAGAGTGTCCAGATAATTACATGTACTAGCCCAGGAGCAGTCAGTGTGTAAAGTTGTATTTTTGATATTTGGAGTATTTTATAGACCACTGACAGTAAGTTGACTTTTTGACATTCTTATTTCACATTAATACTTTCATATATCATATTAATAATTGTATGAATGAAAATTGGCATATGAGAGAATTTATTAAATTATTTAAGAGGGCTGGGTGGTGGTGGCCATTTTTAGACTATGTTGATCTCCTTTAGAAGAAGAGCTCCATATAAAGATATACAAAAATGATCAAATTTTAAAACTAAAATGTATGATTTTTTTCTTTGCCAAATGATAGTTGACAGCTTAAGATATCATATATAAAAAAAAATAAGTTATATCTGATGGTTAATTTGTTGACCCCCCTGCCTCCTTAAGTTTGTCAAAAGCTGATGAACTAATTGATTTTAAACTTTGTAATGAAATGTATTTTATGACACAAAAGAATATATAGTGTATTTAAATGTTATTTATGAATTGTAGATATTAAATCCATAGTGAGACATATACACTGTATTAGAAATAGATATGGATTCATACCCATAGTTTTGTATGTAGCTATATGTACAGGTATATTGTAAATATTTATTATCCACCATATGAAGTGAATATATAAATAGAAATATCATTTGTCAAGAGATATAACTCATTTTAATACATTTGTTGAACAGCATAAGACTGTTAAGAAAGAGATACCTAGTCCACCTCCTTTCTTTTCGGCACCCATATTTACTCCAAAGAGTAAGGACCTTAAACCACCATTATTTCAGTCATCAATCTCTACTTACATTCCAAAATTATCAACATTTTCAGGAGATCCTAGCAGATCATGATCAAGTGATGTGCCATACGAAGTATGGAAGTATGAGTTTGAATGTCTTTCACGGGAAGGATATACTGAGAATGTGATTCTACAGGCTATTAGAAGATCATTGAGAGGTCAGGCTAGCCAGATACCCATGAGATTAGGTCCAGATGCGACATAAAGCCAAGTCTTGGAAAAAATGGAAAGCATCCATGGAACTGGAAAAAGGTGAATCATTATTAACTCAGTTCTACAGTGCTACTCAGAAACCTGATGAAAACACCACAACATGGGGATGCCGTCTTGAAGAGCTTTCAAGTAGAGCAGTTGATAAAGGTAAAGTTCACCATCAAGATGTTGATGAAATGTTGAAGACCAATTTCTGGTCCGGATTACGACAAGATTTCAAAGATATATCGGGATATCTATATGATAAATGTGATACATTTGGTGAATTCAGAAAGGAAATTAGACTTATTGAGAAAGAACACCCTAAAGATAAGAAGAAATCATCTTCTAACATGAATATCACAGCAACAGCAACAGATTCAGTAACTTCATCAAATGATTTTTCAGAACTGAAAGCTATGATCCAGAAATCATCTACCAAGGTTGACTCACTCGAGACTCAGAAATATCAACAACAAGAGCAGACAAATAAATTTACTCAAAGGAAGATTGACCCACAACAAGCTACTTGGTACAGCAGAGGAAGATCTAGAGCAAGACCACTCACTCAATCAAACAGGATGAGAGTTATGGGCAGACAATCATCTTATAGCAATGATGAGCCAATATGCCGCAGGTGTGGGCAATCCGGACACTTAGCATATGGATGTCGAGTCAATCTAAACAGAAAAAACCTATACTGATTTAAACAAGAACAGGCCTGTGTTAGGGGGCAGACGCTAGGCCTGCATCATTTGAGTCGCCCTATCAATAAATCATTAACTTTAATAGGAGACGCAACAGAAGTAAATGTCATCGTGGAGGATACTGCATGCAAAGCGCTCCTAGATACTGGATCTACTGTGTCCACTGTAAACGAATCTTTTTATCGCAATAACTTAAACCATCTTACATTACATCCAGTTACCAATATACTTAATGTGGAGTGTACAGATGGTCAATGTTTACATTATTCAGGATACATAGAAGGGAGCATTACTTCCCTTGGCATACCTTCTCTTGAAGAGCCATGCCCATGTTTACTCCTTGTCGTCCCAGAGAATACAAACAATAAGGAAATACCAGTTCTTCTTGGCACAAACATTCTGCAGCATTTATTAAACAATCTGCAAGATAAATTTGGTAGTAGATGTTTGCAAGAACCAAAGTTACATACACCATGGTACCTGACTTTGAGATCCTTGCTACTCAGAGAAAAGGAATTACAGAGGAACAATAACAGACATGGTGTTGTCAAGTCAGTACATCAGAACCGCATCACTATTAGACCAAACTCTTCTGTCACATTACAAGGTTATGTTGACAAACCAGTTCCTTTTCATGTGACTTGTGCACTTTTACAAGCAACACCAAGGTCTAGAATTCCTGTGGACTTAGACATCGTACCATCTGTTGTGAACTAGCAGTACCCATGTGATAGACTTATTCCTGCCCAAATTGACAATATTACAACAAGGACTGTTACCATTTCTCCAAAGGCTATATTGTGTGAACTACATCCTGTTAACATAGAAGAAATCACACATTCTAAGGGAGACAACTCCAACAACCTTAAATTACTTCACATAGATGAGAGTTCAACAACATCAGAGAGACAAGTCCTAACTGATCTTCTCCAGAAGTATCAAGATGTTTTTTCATCATCAGACACAGACATCGGACATACCACGTTAGTTCAGCATAAGATAGAATTGATTGATGAAACACCTTTCAAACAAAAATCCAGGAAAATTCCACCGAATATGTACATGGAAGTTAAGAACCATCTCCAAAGTCTGATAAATGCAGGACTTATTAGAACATCTAAATCACCTTGGTCAAGTAATGTAGTACTTTGCAGAAAGAAAGACAAGTCTTTAAGAATGTGCATCGACTACAGAGAATTAAAAAACAGAACTAAAAAGGATTCTTATGCCTTACCAAGGACTGATGAGATCTTAGAAGCTCTCTCTAATAACAAGTTCTTTACCATACTAGATATGAAGAGTGGCTATCACCAGATAGAGGTCTTTGAAAAACACAAGGAGCGGACAGCTTTTACAGACGGTCCCCTTGGTTTTTGCAATGCTCTGGCAACTTACCAAAGACTCATGGAGGAAGCATTCGATGGACTACATCTCAAGATTTGCTATATCTATTTGGATGACATCATTATATTTTCCAATACATTTGAAGAGCATCTTGAAAGACTAGAACAAATATTTCAGAGGTTAAGACAGATCAATTTAAAATTATCTCCAAGGAAATGTGAATTTTGCAAGAAAAAGGTCAAATATGTTGGTCATATTGTTTCAGAAAATGGAATTGAACCTGATCCAGAAAAGATACAGAAAGTTAAAGACTGGCCAACACCTATTAATCCAGATCAAGTTCGACAATTTTTAGGCTTTGTTGGCTATTATAGGAAATTTATTAAAGATTTTTCAAAAATAGCTAGACATTTAACCAATTTAATTCCAAACTCCTCAAAGAAGATAAAGTGAAATTCCAAATCTGCAAAGATGTCACCACCTAACTGGCAATGGGAACAAGAACAAGACATTTCTTTTCAGAAACTAGAAAATTCTTTAATTCACTTTCCCATTTTAGGTTTTCCCATTTATGGTCAACCATTTGAGATCCACAAAGATGCATCCCAGAAAGGGTTAGGTGCTGTGTTGTACCAGCTTCAAAATGGACAGAAACGTGTCATTGCTTACGCAAGCCGTGGTCTTTCTAAATCTGAGAAAAATTATTTTATTCACAAACTTGAGTTTTTAGCTCTCAAGTGGTCAATTACAGAAAAATTTTCAGATTACTTATATGGTACAACATTTGATGTGATTACGGACAATAACCCATTGACGTACGTCCTATCTACAGCAAAGTTGGATTCTACTTCTCAAAGATGGATTGCTTCTTTAGCCACCTATGACTTCAATATTTTTTACCGTCCTGGTAAAAGCAATGCAGATGCTGATGGACTATCACGATTGCCTGAAATTTCAGATGTTCGTGACAGAGAACAGATTTCTGCTGATACAATTAAAAGTATTTGTAATGTTCATCATGTCAATGTTCCATTTATTGAATGTTTGTCTATTTCACCAGATATTACCAACAACTTAATTCAATCATATTTTTCAAAATTTTCAGATTTCAGCATCAAAAGAGAACAGTGTAGAGATAGAGATATTTATTTTTGGTTTTCACAGGTTAGAAATGGAATTCCTCCCAGGAAAGAGAACCTTCCTAGCAACAACATTCCATTTCATTTAGCTATGCTCAGAAATTTTGATAAATTTTACAATTTGAAGGAAAATTAATTGAAGAACTTTGTAACATCATGAATATTCAGAAGTCCAGAACAACACCTTACCATCCAATGGGTAATGGACTCTGTGAAAGGTATAACAGAACACTTCTTCAGATGTTAGGAACTTTAAACATGGATCAAAAAGCAGACTGGAAATCGTACATCAGACCATTAGTTCATGTTTACAACTGCATGAAACAGGAATCAACTCAGCATTCACCATTTTTCTTAATGTTTGGCAGACAACCAAGATTACCAAAAGATATTGCTTTTAACATTCCAACATCTTCTTCAGAAATTCCTATTCCAAAATATGTAGAATCATTAAAGTCCAAATTAAAAGAAGCATATCAATTAGCCACAGCGGCGAACCAAAGAGCTCAGGAAAGACAGAAGCGTAACTATGATTTAAAAGTTAGATCTGCTATTCTAGAAAAAGGAGACAGGGTTTTGGTAAAGATTACAAGTTTTGATGGAAAGCATAAACTAGCCGACAAGTGGGAATCAACACCATACATTATAGTAGATCAACCAAATTCCACAATTCCAGTTTACATAGTAAAAGAAGAAGGATCCAATAGACAGAGAACGATACATAGAAACCTCCTCCTACCTATTGGATATTTGGATTTCCAACCAACCGAACCCAGGGTAATAAGACCTACTCCTAGACATAGAAAGAGATTACCAAGAAAAAATAAGAGAAAAACACCGGATACAAAAGACGAAAGCGAAAGTGACAGCAGTGACGAGGAAGTTATATGGACTAGTCCACAAAACCATTTTGAAGGAAACGTTACTCCTTCAGATGTTGGTACAGACCAGGCTGACGACGGTCAGATTCCAGCTGGCTGGACTGAACCAGCACAAGAAGACTCAGATGTGGGAGAGGTCGCTCTCACTCTTGAAGATAAGAGCAACACATCTGATGCCTCTAAGAATTGTGAGCCAGAGGCTGAAAGCCATTCTCTGCAAGAAGATCCACATATTGAAGAAGAAGTTGTTACAGATCAGCAAGATGATGAAATTTCAGAAGTTGTCACCCAAGAAGAAATTGAAAATCAAGCAAAAGATATCCAAACAGCAAATATACCTGAAGAACCTGTAAGAGCAAAGACCAAGCCTGCTTGGATGAAGACTGGAGAATACTCCATGTCAATACAACCACCTATAGATCCAGACTGGAAATTAAAGTGTAATTATTTAGATTCTCTTGTTTCAGATAACCATCTTTCCGGTGTAGACCAGAAACAACTGTCTTCCACTTTTCTTAAAATCCTGTTGCAGAAATGATTTTTTATGACGGATAATTCACTTTGATTTGATTTGATTTTATTTTAATTTACAGATTATTTGTTACACATCTATAGAGACAAGATGACGAGGACGTCATTTCAAAGGAGGGTAAGTGTGTAATAGTCATGATTTTATATTGATTTTAATTAACAGCAATTTTCTTTCAGATGCCATTGAAAGTTATGAAATAACTTTCAATAATAAACTTGATTTAAAATAAAAATGTTTTAATAAAAATGTTTTATTTAAATATTAAACAGTTTAATAGACTTTTACCTCTAATTAAAGTCTAGAAATCTCTAGAGTTCTAAAATTACAGTTTAACTCTTAACCTTGAATAAATAAATAAGAATAGCCATTGGTTAATATTTTCCCACCAAAACCTTTTACCCCCTTTGTCCAGAGTGTCCAGATAATTACTAGCCCAGGAGCAAAATCAAGTTTATTGTTGAAAGTTATTTCATAACTTTCAATGGCATCTGAAAGAAAATTGCTGTTAATTAAAATCAATATAAAATCATGACTACATCTGCAGCCTCCCCAAAAGCGAGAACAATAAGGACAGTACTTATCAGTAAATGTCAGCACTTGTCTAAGTTTTTCAACAGGGACAGTGAAACGGGTCAGTAATTGTCTAAGTTTATCAGCACAGACTAAGATTGTGAGCACTTTTCTAATTTTATCAGCACAGGCAGTAAAAAGGTCAGTAATTGTCTAAGTTTTACATAATATATGTTTTAAGTTATATATATATATATATATATATATATATATATATATATATATATATATATATATATATATATATATATATATATATATATATATATATATATATAGGGTGAGTTAACCATGCATCGGACACATACCTTGCTTCGGACAAATTTACGCTATAAACTTTCATTGAACCTGGGTTTCCACGTGTTTTTACTTGTAGCTATCTTAAAGGTGAAGATATAAACTTTAAAATGATGCCGATTTTTATTTTCATGTTGTGATAAAAATACCACAAGAATGGCATTGAAATTACGTCATATTTTGCATCATCAAAGGGGAGTAACCAGAATTTTACGATTTTGCAATTTTTAAAGTTGTCGTTCTTTTAAAAAGACGTCAACGGAACGGGACGGACCTAGGTAAAATTTGTCAATGATTGATGATTTCACTGGAATTTTTCTAGAATTTTACTTCAGTGTTTGTGTAATATTTTTTAGAGTTGTTTTAACTAGTATGTTTATTTCACCGTACATCGGACTCAAATTGACCATGCATCGGACACTTTCCGATGCATGGGAAATCACTTCCATTTTCATATAAAACCCAAATGACAGCTGCTTTTTACGGAAATAAAAATTAGAAACTCTAAATTTTCAGTGAAAATACAAACTCTCGATTTATGACGACTAGAAGTGGACTCAATTTATTTCTTTAAACTAGAGGATGACAACCACGAGACAAAGGCGCGAGTTGCCATATTACTAGCATTGTAAATCCTGTCTAAGGCGATGTCATGCAACTAAAATCTCTTCGCATTTATGGATAGAAATAGTCATTCAAATTTAATTAGAAGGTTAATTTTTAAATAAAAGATAAAAATGTTTCGATATCACTAATTTTAAAGCACCGAGATCAAGGTATGATATTTTTTTTTTTTGGTTTAAATATCGTATGTCCGATGCATGGTGAATATTGTCCGATCCATGGTAAATTCTGACTTATTTCGAAAAAATTGATTTTTAATGATATTTTCTCAATAAATAGGGCACAATTGTGTCAAAAATTTATATTTTAACCACATACTACACGTTAAGTTCCATTTTGTGACTTCGCTAGAACTTGTTGAAGTGCGAGGGTGTCCGATGCATGGTGAATTCACCCTATATATATATATATATATATATATATATATATATATATATATATATATATATATATATATATATATATATATATATATATATATATATATATATATAATGTTAATTCTTATTAATAACATTAATTATAATATGTTAATTCGCTTTATCAATTCTGGAACAACCCACGCATAGATTTTTTGCTTACATTTTTGTTTATTATTTCTTTTATCTGATAAACAGTCCTAAAACATTTCCAAATTACATTTTTAATACATCTAAATTATCTTTCTTTGGTTTCTTTTTATCATGTAAAGTTAAGCTATTTTGAGAGAATAAGACAGTGTACGATTTACTGCTTGGCCGTAATTTATTAGCGATAATTAATTCGTTCAATTATGTAAATCGCACTTCACCAGAGTACACCCGAGAGACCGGAAGTATTTCATAGCGGTCCGGATTTATTTCTTTACAATTGATTATAAAATTCAAATTCAACATGTAACATTGTAAATAAATAGTGTTTGGTAGTTTAGTAGTAGTGCTAGCCGTTTTTGTTTTTCTATTTCCTTTGTTTTTATGATTTCTTAACTTTTTTCTTTGTCCTGAGGAAGGGACAGGGCGTATCGAAAATTTGACAATTTTTATTGTTCGTGTCGTTGGTCATTTTTAGTGCTTTATATATATATATATATATATATATATATATATATATATCTATATATATATATATATATATATATATATATATATATATATATATATATATATATATATATATATATATATATATATATACGCAGGTACGTTAAGGCTTCCCAGAGAATATTGATGTACTCTGTGCCTTGACTTCTCTGAACTACAAATATATGACGTCATAATTGAAAATGACGTCAAGTCACTGCAAACTTGAGCTGTTATGATGGGGAGAGTGTCATAAAATTTACACCTTATTTCAATCTGCATATAAAGTGTCAGAAAGGTAGTGTAAAATAAACGTGTTTTAACCTTTTTAAAACATCTTATATATCCGAATACATTAGATAACTTTGTTTTATTAATCTTGTTTAAAAGTCAGCGTTTTCAGAATATATTCGTAAATATACGTTTGACATTTACCCTTTTTTATACCCTTGGATAGAGGTAGAATTTATAATATGTGTATAAAAGAGCCTGGCGCAGGTGATTTATGTGGATTTATTTGAGATCTTTTGTGGAAATCTGTAAGAGGAGTTTCCCCTCTAACTGAATCTTGCTTGGGAAAAATGTGTGATGGCTTTGTTTTAATACAGATGACGATATTGAGTGGAAAATACCCTAAAATTTGTTGGTAAGTTGAATTTATTGTGAAATATTTTGTACCAGAGTAATAGTATAACTTTTCCTAAGCTTATTTCGAGCTCACAAGGATGCGACAAGTTTTTTTATGTGACAAAAAGTTAATAATAATTGTGTTAATCACCTGCGCCGAAGCGATTTATGTGAAACACTTCAAAAAAGTAGAAATGACCGTCACGTGATCAACGAGGTCATGTGATATTTGAATTACCATATTTATATTGGATTTCGAAACTTCATAAAAATCCTTACAAACCAAGATACATAGCGGGTTCAACCAAGCCTCTTTCTTTTCTTCTCACTAAGATATTAACAGTGGTAAAGGAGAAACTTCAACAGTACTGTGCAACAATATATTCGAGAAGTGGTGTAAATCAGATGTGGATACTTAAACATTCCAAGGAACTTTTGGAAAATTTGAAATCACAAGATTTACCAAAATCAACAGCTAAAAAACTTATGACTTTTCAACTTGATACACAACCATTCCCCAAGAAAAATTAAAGTCCAGGCTTTTTGATATCACTGATAGCTGCTTTTTCAATAAAAATGGAACTCGTAAATATACTTACCTTGTCATTGGTCATTTGCAAAATTATTTGGTTAAAAAACATTCTGATTGTTCACACAAGTACTCTGAAGTTGACATTAAAAAGATGCCTGAGTTTCTGATTGACAATATCTATGTGGTTTTTGGAGACCAGGTCTTCCAACAATCTATTGGAATTCACATGGGTACCAATTGCGCCCAGTTTTTTGCAGACCTTTTTTGTATTCATATGAAGCAGAATTTGTCCAAAATCTTGTACGTGAAAGAAGAAAACACTTGCTGTGACCTTCAACTCGACATTTAGATATATCGACGACGTATTGTCAATTAACAATGGCTATTTCCATTCTTATGTCGATACGATATGTCCTGGTGAGCTTGAGATAAAAGATACCACAGAGTGTGACACATCTGTTTCATATTTGGATATTTTACTTGGAAAAGACGTTAATAGTAATCTAACAACCAAGCTTTATGATAAACGTTATGACTTTAACTTTTCAATCGTCAACTTCCCTTACTTATGCAGCAATATACCTTCATCACCTGCATACGGGGTATATATCTCTCAGTTGATTCGATACGCAAGAGCATGCTCTACGTATGTACAATTTCTAAAACGAGGTAAATTATTGACAAATAAGTTGATGAAACAAGAATATCAGCTGTCTCGTTTAAAGTCATCATTTCGTAAGTTCTATGGTCGATACAATGACCTTGTCAGCAAATACAATTTATCATTGAGTCAAATGGTGACTGACGTTTTTCATACAAATTGTTAGGCCATTATTTACACACTGAATTGTCGACGGATTTTCCCGTTATTTCCCGATCATGACAAGGAGCACACGGCGGGTGTGACCGGTCGGCAGGGATGCTCACTCCTCCATGGCACATGAACCCTTCTCTGATGTTTGGAGGTCCGTGTTTCCTCTGCTCCTATTTTGTATTGTTTAATGGACTTTTGAGCTTGAATACTGTTCGTTATCTCCATATATTTCATCGTAACAAATACGTTTATATATAGCCCAGAGAACTCTCTATATAAATTGGTCGTACTTAAGTACATAACTTACAAATAAAAATAAAAATCGACCTTGCAATGCAGTGTAATTTTTTAAACGTATTAAAAGCTTCCGGAAGCCTTAACATTGCTGTATATATATATATATATATATATATATATATATATATATATATATATATATATATATATATATATATATATATATATATATATATATATATATATA